AAAAAAAAAAGGAGATAAATGATCTACGAGACAAGAAAAAAAATTTACTGACAAATGCTAACCTCAAAAACCATACAAACGTGCAGACCATTTACACCTTTAATAGTGAAATTATCCAACAGTTGTACAACTCGGTCACGAAAAGGATGCTTTTCGTCGGCAGTACGAACTGCCATAAGTAGCTAAAAAAAATTAAGATGTGAACCGCTATAACATTTTGATTTTCTTAAAAATACAAGACTCCACAAAAAAATTTTCCAAGCGCTCTGTCAAAGAAATCCCGAGTTACTCAAAAACTAGTCCCTAGCTACGAAACTGTCGCAGAACAATTTTACTCTAAACTCCTTCTAAAACTTTGGAAACCGCTGCCGTCGAAAAATTTCGGCAGAAAACCATAACTGGTTTAAAATGACAACCTTGATCTCATCTATAGCAGCTTCCGTATAATGCTCAGCCGACTTCACAATTTTCAAAGCCACAAATCGTCTCTCGGTTGTGTCCCAGCATAACCAAACAGTGGAAAAGTGACCCCAACCCATTTTCCTAATGACATGATACCTAAAAACCGAAGCATTGATAATTAAAGCAATAAGCAAACGAATAAAAAAAACCAAGTAAAAAGCTTGAACAAAAAATTATAGTCTGAACTAGACACGAAAGTTCGGGACCAACCTCCCATTGAAAACATCTCCTATAGAAACGGGATGATAGCCACCTTTTCGATAATCTCTTGGATCTTCCTGTTCCTCGTCATCACTTCCAAGCATTTCTTCCTAAAATACCAATTAGCAAAAATTAGCAAAAATTAAAAAAACAAAAAATTTCATGAAAAAAATTCTAAAAACGCACTGAGTGTCAGATAAAAATTATCTACTACCTGCTCTCTATCAATATCACTGTCCTCGCCGGCACTCTCACTACCTGCACTAAATGATCCAGCAGCAGCGCCTGCTGCTATCTCTTCATCAACAACAAATTTCGGGCTCGGAAGCAACTGTGGATCGATCGGCTGATATAATTGCTTAAAAAAAAAATAACAAAATAAAAAACAACGTCAATAAACATTTTGAAAAGCAAGTAAAAGTTAAACCAAAAACTTTTAACTAACACAAGGATCGGGCAAAAAGGGCTGTTCTCTCGGAATGTTGCCGTTTAGTTTCTTCGGAAGACTTAAAGAAGTAGGTTTCGCTTTTGCCATTTCGCCTTCCGGAACAATCGGCTTCTGCGCTTTTGCTGCTTTATTGCCGCTAGGTAAGCCATCTTCAACTTCCCTAAACCATGAGCACCATTTGAAGAGTTTAATATACTCAAACGAAGTGGAAGATATTAAAAACAAAGCAAAAAACTGTTGAACCCTAAAATGGTAAAGAAGGAACTATAACAAATGCCCTCGAAGGCTTAAGATATTATAAAGAAAGGTTACTGTCAATAAAGTCCGAAGAGAGTAAGGTAAGGATAATATTAAAAAAATCTACGACTCAGATCTCGACATGGCTTTTTATTAATCAAAACAGGCAACTCTCAAGCCTGAAATAATGGTAATCCAAAGTCAATAAAGGAAAAAAATGCGAAAAATAGAGAGTTCAAAAGTAGATGCAAACCCTTAAATTTCACTTTAACTTTTATCATTACTGCCGTGAAACCGAATTTTCCCTAACATTAAATGAAAATCTAGTTTTTCGGATCTCTATCACCATTACTGGTGCACCCAGCTTGTCTCAACAGTGGCACAAAATAAAATGAAAAACTACAAAAACAAAAAACAGCTATGCATTTTAAACGATTACTACTGAAATCCGAATAAATTTCAAAGAATACTTTAAAGATAATTATAAACTTCTGAGAATAACAAACAAGACTCAATACAAAAAAGAAAAAAAAAATGAAATCAAAGTAATCAAAAGCAGACCTAGAAAAAAAAAGACTCAATAACTACGAAACTCAAGTACTAAGCTAACAGAAAAATACTTTGGAAGATAAAAATTCTGTAAATAAAATGCGCTAAAAGAAAAATAAGATTTATAGAGGTCGAAAAGAAACTTAAAAGAAAAAACCTAGAAGAAAATATGAAGACGTCAACCATTTTACACAACAAATCATTATATTCAACAAGCAAATCCAAGTGATAGGATGATTTTTTTTAAGTGCTCAGCAGCAGTAAATTATAAGCTTCGAACACTAAAAATGACGTCCATAGTTAGAAAATGCTAATTAAAAAAGAATTTTTTTACTCATGCACATTCAGTGACAGGCATATGAGCAAAACTATAAGTGGATAGCGTGAAGGGTGGGAAAATGTGGCTAAAAAAGTAGACGTTCTTTAATCCAGCTAGTGTTGGTAAGAAATGAAGAAGGCTACAACAGTATTAAATTAGACAACACTATTAAACTTACGTAAGCAACATTAATTTGCAAGCCAATGGCTGCATGATCATTTCAGACCGACTCGAGTTACCAGTTAAAAAACTAGACGACACTGGGCAGCTAACCAACTCCTTTTGCTTATTTAGCAGCTCTTTTTCATCGTATGCATCCCTGAATATGCTATCTGAGCTATAGGCCGACGAAACACTAACGCACGGTGAATTCTCGTGAAATGATGTTTCCGCCTCATCGCCATCTGCTTCTTCAATTACATCACTGTTGTCCAAAAATTCTTTGAAACTCCCATTACTTTGGGAATCTTCCACGGACAATGCACATTCACAGTTTTGCAATAAAGCCGGTCTTGGATGGACAGACGCCGAGATTTCTGCTAAATCAGTTCCAGTAATTATAACATCATCCGCTGCATCCTTCGACAAAATTTTTTGATCGGTAAAACTTTCGTTCTTACTTGTTTCAATTAATGCTTTTTGTTCACTGTTAGTAGTCGCTGCATCGTCGTCTTGTCTCGATGCTGAGCCAGTTATACTGTGTTTCAACTTCAACTCATCATCATTCTTTTCTTCGTCCCCACTTAATTCTGGGAAAGCCCTCCAGAACCAGCGGCATAATAACAATGCGAACATATACCGCAAAACCTCACCAGTACTTTTCAGTACATAACAGATTATAAAAATCAGACTAAAGATGACGACGAAAAAATTTTAAAACAACTAAAGGCGGCAGAAATAGGAATAAGAAATACATTTGGTGATTGCAGAAAGAAAATTCGAAAATAATATTATTTGATGATCACATTAACAGTACATCCGCGCTAGGTCAAATAAAATTACGTGAACATTAACAACTTGGCGGCTGACGAATGATCCACTCTTCCTCTTCTTCAAATACAAAATAAGT